GGGAGTGGAGGGAGAGAGGGGAAAGTGAAAGGGGCGGAGAGGAGGAGATAGAAGAAGGGAAAGAAGGGGAGAGGGAAAGGGAATGGGAGAGGGAAGGAAGGGAGAGGGGATGGAGGAAATTGGGAAGAGGAAAGGAAAAGATCGTTGGGGGAATGAATGGGAAGATGAGAAAAGAGGGAAAGGTCATGAATATTTAAAAAATCATGTAACACATATCACTGTATCAGATAACACAGAACACAGATCTGAATGTTCATAAACTTAATGTCTAACAAATTATGAACATAAATATAGGCTTTCTTCATACTACCCACAGTAAGATAAGATAAGATAAGATAGTACTTTTTTAGTTTCCCTCTGGGATAAGAAAGTACTATCTTATCTTATCTTATCTTTAAAAATACATATATAATACACATCCTGAATATTCATAAAGACTTATTTGATACACCGTACTCAAATCATGAATATTCATACAAACATACTCAACATAATATGCTATACAGACAAGGAAAGTTTATACAGACTTACTGAGTACGTCATTATTTATACAGGTATAAACAATATTCATGTAGACTCACGGAATACGTCATATCATTTAAACAGATCATGAATATTCAAGCAGACTTACACTGAATACGCCATATCATTTATACAGATATTTAATATCCTTGCAGACTTACTGAATACGTCATATTATTTATACGAATCATGAATATTCATACAGACTTGCTTTCTACATCCTTAACAGATCATAAACATTCATGGTGATTTACTAAATACGCCATAACATTATTTATACCGATATTAAATTAATATTCATACAGACGGAAGATCAAAGTATATATACAGATCATGAATATTCATTCAGACTTACTGAATAAGTCATCATATTATTTATTTGTACAGGTAATGATTCTTCATTCAGACTTACTGAATAAGCTATAATATGATTTATCTATACAGATAATGAATATTCATTCAGACTTACTGAATACGTCCCAGTTTCCTCCACTCTTCTCTGATGACGCTTTTTACCGCCAGGGCCTGCTCTGTGTCTTGTTTCATGCAACCTCTGAGGGCAAAATAGAACACTTGTTGTTGTTGTTGTTGCTGTGCGTATGTGCGTGTGCGTGTGTGTGTGTGTGTGTGTGTGTGTGTGTGTGTGTGT